AAAAATCAAAAACATTCAGCAGTAAGTCCTAACGAGATCGAGCTAGGCGAACCTACAATTTGCACGTAACACGTGGTTGTTCAGCATTGTGTGGGCGTCTAGGACTATAGCACTATTTGTTCAGTGCCCGACACTCTCTGCACTGAGTGGGTTGAGATGAAAATGCATTGCACAACCATGGACTCATTGAAAGTCATGCAATATCGACATGCCGACAGCCAGGTTGCTTAATAATGACCATCGAGGAATGGTAGCAGCTGAAGGTCCTCGAGAAACTACATAGTTAATGCTCTCGTTCCAGATATGTATACTCCACTAGCCAATCTGCACGATGCAGGAACTTAGTGAAGGAGCGAAGCAGATCCAGTGTTACCAGTGTGTAGAAGTCTGGGAAGACCAACCGAACTGAACTCCGGCTGGAATGGAGGTAACAGAACTAATACAGTTGTCGTTCCGGTTGCATGACTCCAAAAACAGGTTGAAATGCGTAGAAAAAGCAGTACCAAGCATGTGGAATGTCCACGCGAAAGGAGGAGAATATAAAATTCCACTGGAAAAGTCCGAAAGAGGTAGCGAATAGTTTCTGCTGTATGACTAGGGTTTAGTAATATTAAATATCCACAACCTCATCTCGGTTGGAGCTAAGGAAGACACCAGCAGTACGCGAAGCAACCACCACCAGTCGCTCGTGAGTTAATATTGCGAGGGTCGCCCGGTCCCCTACGCGGGCTGGAACCGGTGAGGTCCGAGTTGCAAGGCAGACGCCTTGTCCTCTCGGCCACCGGCTGAGTTGCGCTTCGCTTTTTGGTGAAGTTTGAAAATAGCCTCGGCACTGCTGACAGTTAACAAGAGGGACTGTAAACCCGAGGCATGTGAATAGAAAAGCAAACCATCATAATTGTCACCAGTGGGAATTAGCTTGGGCTCTTTCTTACTGCACATCCAAGATAGCAATTTATGATTTTATCACCCAAACTACGATGCTGCAAGCAACCTTACCATGGCCCAATCCTGAATAGGTTACAAAGCACATCACTTGCAGTCTGCCTGGAAAACCTATAAACAGTGAACAGTGAATTTCTGAGGGTTAAGAAGCGCTGCTTTACGAGTCCCATTGGATAGTTGGTGGGAGTATCGAAATAATAATGGTGATGACGATTATAATAATAACACAGTACTTTAGATATGAAAAGAAGCACTGATCGTTTGCTCCGCCGTAGTTCTGAATTCCGCATAGATTCACAGCACCCACAGGTAACGTCAAATAAATCCAAAGTACAGTCCAGGAGTAGCGCTAAGTAACAAAGTGTAAGTGGATGAGTGCGTCATCCAACCGTCTTTTAACAACTGTTAGTGTCGGTGCAGAGACAACCGATTCTGGGAGAGCATTCCAAAGGTGACATACACGAATGAAAAAGAAATTCATGGGGCACTCCAGACGGCTATACTGTTCCGTGAGTTTCAATGAGTGGCCCCACAGGGTTGTATTGATGATGAGTCGCAGTACAGGGCGGCACACATGATGTGGGTCTCGCAGAATCAAGTATGCCATAATCAGGTCGTCTCGTACTTTGCAATGCAGTCCACTGAATATCCTCAATCGTTTCAGCCTCACCTCGGATGAAAGATTGCACATTCCAAGTACGTTCTTAAATGCTTGACGTTGAGGCTGCTCCAGGCTTGAGTTACGTATGCGATATGGGGTCGAACATACGCACTGGGCATTTGTCGAAAAAGAGAGCTGTCTAGTTGTTTGAACCCCGGTCGCAACAGCCCGGCGTGTTGGTTTCCAGTCCTCGAGGCCTTTTCGGATTGCCTGGAGCAACCCAAGTCATCTTGAACCGAGACACCCAAGTCACGTTCGACAGTTGATTGTTACAGCACATTCGTTCCGAATCGGTGGGATTAGTTTCTCTGATGTCGTATGGAGGGTACCTTGTATTTACCTAAACGACTCAATTTCAAAATAACGATAATAGGCGCCGGTGGCCAATGGTTTATCTTCTTAAGCAAATCATCTCCGGCAGGTTTGTTGTGGATGTTTTATTGAGTTGATTAACCCATGAATTTTGTCCGATATCTCTAATCGTCTGTTGAGCCGGTGGTAGCCATCGTTGACAATGAGGAATACTGTGGTTTAGATCGATAAGAGAACGTAAAGCATTGTCATCGATCTAGGCGAAGTTTGTCAAACTGTGCATATATTGGGGCTGCTGCGGTAGCAGTAGCTAGGTTCTACTTGGAAAAGAGATTACTGGAACCTTGATCACTGGAAACTGCAGTGCTTTTAAGGACGATCGTTTAAGGGTAGCTACGCTCAGCCTAGATCGAGACGGGATAGCACATGCCGATCACTTAAATGACGATTGCTGGGAGTAACCGCGCGGTAGCGTGCAGGCAGCTAAAAGATGGCAGAAGGAGTAGAGGGCTCTACTGTGTGGACCACACCAGCTGATTAGATAGGCCGAAATGCAGTCGGTATGTGGCCGGTAAACGTTCAAGTGACCCAGCAGACTAAAAAGCCATAAAAGCACGAATAGGCATCTACATGTCGAATAACTACCCATCGGCCAAAATAAACCGTACGTGGCCGCTGAAAACGGAATAGAATACAATGGAATATAAAAGATGTGTTTTGTGCAATCAGAAGGGTTTTACCTAGAGATGCGCGACACTAGGAGGCATACGGATCAAGGCGTTCGCGTTAACTGCTAACTAGGCTCAACACACAAACCTACCACTTAGTGGATGTGAACAGCATATTTTCGTAAGAGTATCCATCCCCTGCTGGAGCACAGGACCACACGTCTCATAAAAATCATTTTACTCTCATTGAGTTTGAGCGAGATTGTGGTTACTTGATCTAAGACAGGAAGACATTGGAATCATGGCTTCTAGATTCATATAGCCAGTTATTATCATACTCCGCCCCAGATAATGGAAAGGTAACTGTGCCCAAGCGCTTTTCGAACGTCGAATCTATGGCTGACAGGGCTGCTTACAATGGCCGACATCCCAAAGCTAGTCCGAGTAGGTTCACGGGTCGGTTCCAATTCAGCCCCGTTTGAAAGCGTAGCCAAAATACTGGACAAGCCCTATCCCAGATTCTGGACATGTGAATGCACGTACCCAGCAAGTGGATTTGCTGAAGTTGCTATCGATCACCATACAGGCGATATGGCGTGTGACTGAATGTTATTGGCTGAGTTTCATCAGCAGAGTGGGGAGAGCGGCATTCTGTGCTGTAATCCACAGTAGTCTAACAAGTTTCGGTAAACTCGGATTCGAACAAGACGCGCTATTGGTTTGGCTGCACTGCATTTAGCGGTGGAGTACCTCTAAAGCCACCCCAAACTGTATTGCGTGGCCTTCCACTACAGTTTCGTAACTCGGATTTTGTATACTTTATCAACGCATCGCAATGAGGCTGGGACTTACCGTGGTGCGATGGTTTGTTTGTTCCAGAGATCCATTGAGCTATGCTGGGTGGTGCTTTTTTGCACTTTCAGAGCCACTCATACCAGATTGGTCAATTAGAGGCCAGACAAACTCAGCCTCCTGGTCCTCCAGTTAAGGTTGGAATGAGATTTGCTCCTTATACCTCAAAACGGACTTCTTATAGCCCAACGCCAAACCTGCTGCCTTGCGGTCAGGTTTTTGAACCAAAAGGCTTTGGTAAAAAACCCCAATCATTCTCCTGTCTAGTCTTGGGCAACCTGATAGTATCCTGCCCACGCAATACAATGAATTTCTCTTCTTACAATTTATTGATGCTTTGGCCACCGCAGAGGATAATCAGCGGAGCCCTACCTGCTGCATCGAGCAGGGTGGATGGGGGTTTGGATGCTACTGTTCAAGCCTTCCCCCTTTTACGCTCTTTCACCCTAACCGTTCCGTTTCAGGTTCACGTTTAGCCCTCCTGTTTTCAAACTCCCTATTCTTGGCCCTCCCCCAACATGCTTTGATAGGCTTGTACATCTTAGTTTCAACTCACATGTGAATGCCGAGCGTCATTCCTGCCCCATAGACAAGCCCATGTCCAACCAAACATCATCATCATCATTATACACATCAGCTAGAGGTGGGAAAACACCTCCGCTATTGTGCCGCAATACATGAAGGAAATACATACATACATACATATAATACAATACACAAATGAAAAATAGATACCACAGTTGCATGCCAGCTGAGCTACCAGCAACGGATAGGTATCGTTCCGGTAAGCTTCCAGCCAGCTACTAAGCAAAAAGAAATTTTTTATTATGTTTTACCCTAGGAAATGAGATCCTAGATGGATGGGGAGACTAAAAAGGATGGGGAGGGACAAAGAAACTCACAGCACGAACGCCACTGAGGTCGGCTCCTTGCCATGTCAGCAAGTGTATCCAGCCAAACGTGTTCACCGTCTTTTGGACCCCAACCAGGGAGCCGTGTCGCTCCAACCGAGGCTAGCTCCGATGTGAGGGACTTCATTCCCCTGGACCAAGTCATCGTTTGGCCACCTCTCCTCTTCTTCAATCCACATCCCCGGTGAGCAAACAACGCACGTCGCGGGAGTCGGTGGGCTGGCATGCGTAACACGTGGCCGAGCCATCGGAGCCTGGTGCGTGAAATAACGGTGCTGAGCGGTTCATTTCCTTTTCCTGTGCCATAAACAAGGCGTCGAACACGCTCTTTACCCACGCGGTGTTCCCACCATATGTGAGCCAAACTGCGAAGGCACCGATGGTCGAACGTAACTAGCCTCTTCTTGTCCGCCGACTTTAGGGGCCAGGTTTCGCAACCGTACAGTAGGGTCGAACGTACCGCTGCATTGTACACTCTACCCTTCAGGGCGAGAGTGATGTCGCGCCGCCGCCATAAGTGGCGAAGGTTAGCAAAAGCACTTCGAGCTTTCGCTATACGGTTCGTGATCTCGTCTTCAATCCCAAGGGCGCTGATACAACTTCCCAGGTAGTTGATTTTTTGAACGACTTCTAGCTGATCGCCACCAAGGGTCAGCGCATGAGAAGGTTCAGACCAATCTTGGGGAACGCTTTGCACTTCGAGGGTGTGAAGCAAAGTTTGTAATGACGGACAGCCAGTGCTAATCTGTCCAGCGCGGCTTCGCGCGTCTGCGAGCTGTCACAGATGAGGGCAATGTCGTCTGCATACTCCAAGTCAAGAAGTCGTTCTCCTGGGAGTAGCTCCACACCTTCTAAGTCGTGTCTTGTAAACGCGATTTCCATGACTTCGTCAACAGCGAAGTTGAAGAGGAAAGGTGACAGCATGCATCCTTGTCTCACACCAATGGAGATATTAAAGGGTGGTGGCAGCTTGCCGTAAACCATCACTCTGCCCGTGCTACGCGCATATAATGCTTGGATAATATTTACATATTTCTCGGGCACACCTTTCCTGAGTAAACAATTCCAATGGGCACATCGATCAACCGAATCGAAGGCACCTTTGATGTCGAGGAACACGATTACGGTGGGCCGCCAATATGTGTGGCGGTGCTCCAACAACTGACGCAAGGTGAAGATGTGGTCGATGCAGCCACGACCACGACGAAACCCGGCTTGCTCCTCACGAATCTGGCTTTCACGAGCGCCAGTCAGTCTGTGAAGAATTATGGAGGCGAGTAATTTGGAGGCGATGGAGATCAGACTGATTCCTCTATGATTGCCGCATTCCGAGTGCGAGCCACCTTTGAAGATGGGAACAATAACAGAGCGGCTCCAGTCGGTTGGGACAGTCTCCTGCTCCCACAGTTTCACTAGGAATTCATGTAAAGCATCAACAAGAGCAGAGCCTCCGAATTTGAAGAGGGCTGGAGGAAGATCATCTGGTCCCGCGGGGTTGGTCAACTTCAACAGTCCGATCTCACGTTCGACTTCTGAGCGAGAGGGTGGATCCAAAGGAACAGCCCACGGAGCAGGGCGATCACTGGTAGGCGAGAAATCTAACAATTCCGACCGATTAAATTGCCTTTCAAAGTGCTCAACCCAACTTTCCAGGCGTTTTGATAAGTTGTGGGTAGGCTGTCCACTCTCGTCACGTATAGTTTCACTAACACCAGGTCTCCTGCTGCCCGTTTCCCGTATAAGACGGAATAACTTACGATGGTTACCAAGGGCAGCGGCCATTTCCATCTCTGTTGCACGACGAGACCACCACGATTTGCAGTCTTTCTTCAGGCTAGCACGGAGTTTTGCCCGGAGCTCTTTGCGAGTTTCATTGTGCTCGCTTCCAGCCGGGATATGTCGGCGAGCATCGATAAGTTCCAGAGACCGCGAAGAGACCCAATGTTCATGTTGGCGATTAGACATACCACATGAGGATTTGCCCGCTGCTATTAAGGTCTGGCGAACATGTGACCAGTGACCATAAATTGTCTCCAGTGAGCGATTACTCAACTCGCTGCTTATCGGAGACTCGCCTGCAAGACTCCAGCTCTGTACCCACTTTGCGATCCTCTTCAGGGGACACCAGTAGCACTATCTCATTGCGCCTATCCGGTGACGATGCAGCTTCGAGCACCGGCCAAGCTGGTGTTGGTATTGTCCTGAGTCCTAGGGCTGAAGCTGCTCTGGTTGACTGGATTCCAATCAGTAGCCGGATGTGTGCGGTCCGATTGGCTGGCTCGTTCAAAGCTGCGAAGCCGCACGGGACTAACAGATCTCTATTCGTCATCCCTGCCAACGGGCCCACAAACTCTAGCGATGATTCGGTAAAATATGACTTCTATCGTCAATTGAACGAGCTACTTCGTCACAGAAGAAGCTCGGACATTGTTGTGCTGGCTGGGGATCTGAACGAAGTTGGAAAATTATCCACTGATGAACTGCATCGGGGCGGCCAACATGGTGTAGGCTCCCGTAATGGCAACAGTGAACGGTTACTTCATCTGTGTGAAGATGCTCGCTTATTTCTTGCGAGCACTAATTTTCGACACAGCACGCTCCGGAGAGTGACTTGGAGCCCACCAGCCTCGAACTAACTATGGACGTAAATCGATCACATTACGATAACCTACCGATGGAGAGGCTGCGTCCAAAACTGTCCCTTGATTTGGAGCACATGTGTGGACACCGATCATGCATTTGTATTCGCTGACATTCGGATGCGCTTTGGCGGACGCCCACAACGACGTTGTGACCGCATTGACACCAGCCAACTGGCGAAGCCAGCTGTTCTGAATGCCTATCAAAGTACGCTGTCATGCGAGTTGAGTAAACGCTCAGTGGATGCAGTTGGAGCTCAATGGTCTCAAATTCACCAATCCTTACTAACAACTGGAAAATCCTCGTGTGGCAAGTCTAATCGCCAACATGGACATTGGGTCTCTTCGCGGTCTCTGGAACTTATCGATGCTCGCCGGCATATTCCGGCTGGAAGCGAACAGAATGTAACTCGCAGAAACCTCCGGGCAAAACTCCGCGCTAGCCCGAAGAGAGACCGCAAATCCTGGTGGTCTCATCGTGTATCAGAGATGGAAGTAGCCGCTGCCCTTGGTAACCATCGTAAGTTATTCCGGCTAATACGGGAAACGGACAGCAGGAGACCTGGTGTTAGTGAAACTATAAGTGACGAGAGTAGATAGGATATCCACAACTTGTCAAAACGCTTGGAGCTTTGGACTGAGCACTTTGAAAGACAATTTAATCGGTCAAAATTGTCAGATTTCACACCAGCCACTGATTGCACTGCTCCCTGGGCGGCCCATTTGTATTCGCAGTCTCGCTCAGAAGTCGAACGTGAGATCGGACTGTTGAAGTTAAATAAAGCTGTGGGACCAGGTGATCTTCCTCCAGTCCTCTTCAACTTCGGGGACCTAATCTTGTGGATGATTTACACGAGTTACTAGTGAAACTGCGGAAGCAGGAATGTCCTAACCGACTGGAGCCGGTGCGTCATAGTGCCAATTTTCAAGGCAGGCTCAAGGTCGAAATGCGGCCATCATAGAGGAATCAGTCAACTCTCTATCGCCTCCAAATCTCCTGCCTCTGTCATCCTTCACAGACTGATCGGCACTCGTGAAAGCCGTATTCGTGAAGATCAAGCCGGGTTTCGTCGATGTCGTGGTTGCACTGACCTCATCTTCACTTTGCGTCAGTTGTTGGAGCACTGTCACATAGATTGGCGGTCCACGGTTGTCGTGTTCCTCGATATCAAAGGTGCATTCGATTCGGTGAATAGACGTGCACTTTGGAAAGCGATGACATGGTCGAGAGGAATGAAGGCCCTCACTTCGAAGCTGGCCTCAGTTCGAGCGTCTCGGCTCCCTGGTTGGGGTCCGAAAGACGATGAACATGTTTGGCTGGATACACTTGTTGATATGGCTAGGAACCGACCTCATTGGCGTTCGTGCTGTGAGTTCCTTTGTCCCACCCCATCCCTCTTAGCCTCCCCCTCCAACCACGACCTCATTATTTAGCATTTCATAATTTGGCATAGGAAATTATTTTTTTGTTCTGCTGCATAGTAGCCAGCAGATAGCTTACCGGAACAATGTCCATCCGTTACCGGTAGCTCAGCTGGCTTGCACCTGTTGCATTTTATCCCTTTTTTATCTTTTAGGTATTGCGGCACAGTAGCTGAAGTGTTTCCCACCTCTAGCTTACGTGTATATGAATGAATGAATGTGATACTCTCTCAACATATTCAAAACCAGGATGCTTGACATTGAGTTTGTGGTAGTACCGCTAGCAACACTGGGAAAACTGGGTAAACATAAATACTCAGTGCATATAATGGGGAAATCTTTAACTCGGTCGTCTCTCTTCGCTTGGATGGAGGTAACATGCGAAGGGTACTCAGCTGTAAACAAGTAAAGTGCATGATAATTGGATGAGATTGGGCAGGATCTTCCATAGAGATGGTTAAAGCAGTCAAATTCAGTGGACCGTTGATTGGGAACTGAGTATCAGTCCCATCACGAGTTTTGAAACTTGGTTACATTGCATTTGTCCCAGGAAGTCGTGCTGATACCTTCGGTCGGGAAGAATATTCGTTTGTATTCGAATGGGAGCGCCTTGCGCTCTTCAGACGGCAGGTAAAATAATACTCATCTGTAAATACAAAGCGGTGCGTTGCAGCGTAGCGAAATATGATGTGCGAAACTAACGGAACGAGCAAAGGTTACTTAAAAATAACATGACTTCGCAATGACGCTGTAAACAATAACGGTGACGCACCCATGTTTCCACAATGGCATTCAACATTGTGAAATCTAACTACCCGTTGAGGATTTCGATGTTGTTACTGAAAGGTGATTCTTGTTTGGAGCTTGCGAAGTAAGAACGTGCCGAGTGGGCATGACTCATAAAGGCTGGACTAAGCCGATTGCTCGGTAGTAGTGCTACTGTAGTATGTGCAGCTGATCCTTATGTGTTGACTGTGCCGGGGCTTTCCTACTCGCATATGCTGGTCTATATGTGGTTTTTTAGTGACTATGGATACTAGCTTCCAAACTGATGGAAAGTGATCGGGGATGGTGCTTGAACGTCGGTCTGTCGCACTTTGCAAATGACACACCCCCTATACCGTATGCTATATACTATGGCTGGTGGCATCTTGTGAAAAAACATATGTACTTACTAATGGGCTTGTTGGTACGTAACATTGAGGGCTGAATTAAAACGTCAAACCAAGCCGCACTGACTCTAGGGCGGTTGCCATATAGCAGGATTCCACTGCTATTCTGTGTAGCAAAGAATGTGGCCTCCGTTTAAATGCACCCCTGATTCCGTGCATTGAAGTTACATTCAGTAGGTTGTGAGGTCATTATTCGCGACAGTAATGCAAATGATCACAGTTGCACTATTCGTAAACATTTCCCGGGTCCACAACCGCAAATCGGAAAACACAGTTCTTATTTGGAATTTGTGGACAATTGGGGTTGTCGTGGGAGTCTTAGCACCGGAAAATGTTGTATTAACGCTATGAAAATCCTATGCATTTCTTCTGGCGCAATTGTGTATCTCGATACCGCTCAATCTGTGCTGTCGTTGACAGTGTCATTCAGTGAGTGATGTGCTAATTTGGCAACGATATTGAGAGAAGAAATGCGCTCTTCATCGGGAGCAGCTTCTGTGGCTTCGCAACCTGAAAGTTTACTGACGGCGCATTCAGCTTTGCCAGGTAACGTAAAGCCAACAGAAAATTAAGCGCTGCCACTCGTACCTTTTCGTTTGCCCTATTCCCACCACCTATTCCAACCAATGCATAGCGTTCAGTCTGTTTTCCAGGTCGTTCACATAGCGGTATGTCCTTTCTGACTCCGCAGCGGTATATAGTACATTGCATTTGCACGCACTGGTGATAGTGTTATTGATAATTTTAACCTGTGAGTAGGTCTCCAATCAGAAAACTCGGAAAAGTGATTAAAGGGGGGTCATTTTGAGGCGCTGGTTGTGCGTACGGATTGTGACGCACACTCTCAATATGAACCGCGATTCACATTGAAACGAGCCTTTGTCAAATCGGTCACTGGAGCTGTAACTGAGGCAGGTGAACGTTGGGTGCTTTCCGCCCGAAAACACTACACTCCAGGACCGGTTTCGAACTTATCTGATATCATCAGTTAGAGAGAGCGAGCATCGAACCCAGGGACAGTGATGTCAGCAGAAACCTCTATCCTTGAGCAATCACTAGCATAAGACTGAACAGGCACACACACACACACACACACACAATGTGTGTACGAAACGACCGAGCTTGAAGTTAATTTCCGATCGATGTAAGATAGAACAGGAAGTGAAATCTAGTTGACCGACTGTGTTTGCTAGTGTATGCTCTTCTATGACTTACCACTTACTGAGTTGGAATTTGAAATCGTTGAAGCTGGTTTCACTTTTTGAATGGCGTGTTGAAATTCTATTTCACTTGCTGCCCAACCAAAGCCCTGTTATCATGGTTGCTCACTTGAAGCGTGTCAACACTCTTGGTGCACCCTGACCATCCAACTGTCTTTGGAACGGTGTTGGCGGGGCCTTCAAATTTCGCCGTACTCTACGATTCTTTCTGCGGAATTATTAACACACGTTTTTGCCTTATATCAACTATCATTTGTTCACTTCCTCTTATCCAGATACAATTGTTAGCAGCATGGACCTATGCGCGCGGTAACTTGCAATCGTTGTTTCTGCGCTGACGGCCTGTGCGTTTTCCAACGACCATGTGATAAGGAATAAATTGAAACGAATTTATAAGAAGCGCAATAATCGTGCAAGAAAACACCACACTGGGAGGAAGATTACTCTTCGGAAGAAAAAAAGCCGGAAAGGATGAGCATACTTATCTTACTCACCTCAAACATCTGTTCACTTTTAGGGAAAATGGATTGACTTACAAGTACCATCAGCTCCCGAGAATATTCGCAGTTAGGCGGCATTTTGCTACAAGAGATCTGGCTTCACGAGGTGGTGCATGAAGCACTTTTATCGGTTGAAGGGTCCAAATGTCATCGGGTCGACGGCACTTGTGCCTCTCCCACTGCGAGGCATGTCCATTCGTCGGCACGACCAATCCAGCAAAGGTGGAAGGGTGGTCCTGTACTTCTGCAGTGACCTTCAATGGGAGCCCATGGTGGATCCGATCAGCACGGTACATGATTCCGTTTGGTGCCGTCCACGTTTAAAAAGCAACGACGCTTGCTTGGTGGCTGTTGTTCACAGCCACCATCCACGCCTGAGATGGACTTCTATCAGGCGTCCACACAAAGTCTGGTCATAAACAAGAAGTACAGTCACATTCTTAGTACTGGCGATTTCAACACCCAAGCTATGGAATTCTAAGCCGTTCCTGGAGAATAGTTTAAGGTGGACCTACAAGCGGTTGTCCAGTTTCCCGCTGTATGGCCACATCAACACCCCTCAGATTCAGAGAAACAGATAACTCGTCTATATGCACCAGCGAAGAACTGTTGGTTGAGTGAGCAATCGTCGACGTCCCCTTAGGCCGCAGCGATCACGTAGTACTGCTCTTCAAATACATCCGACACAATGAGAACAATTATACGCTACGAAATATTATCGCGACTAGGTGAGACAACCAACCGAAACCTTTTGACAGTCGAGGCACCGGCAAGCGAATGGGAACATTTCATCAGCTAGGTTAACACTGGTTGCCGAAGCATCAGCGACTAAGAATGTTCACCAGGAATCCTTCGAATAACACTGAACTCAGTGGATGAGACAGGCTCTCCTACTCCCAACAGTCTGTCTTCACAACTCACCGAGCGCAATGCACAAACTACCCGATCTCTGTTGGAAAGATCGCCCAAAAGAAACAGGTGACCAACGTGGCATTCCTAATAGCAATAGCTTGAAAACCATATTTGTTCATCGTGTTCCCGAGCTTCTGCATTCTTCTGATCACGATGAGCAAACACATGATCGAGAGCAGTGGTGCTACATCCGCGAAGCACTCTCTCTTGACAATGTTACTGCCAAATCCTTGACAAGAGTTCCATCATCATCTAACTTCAAGGGCTGTGGTCCAAGACTAAGAAAAGTAGTATTATGCCCCGAGGAAATGACGCAAGTTCTAGTGGATAACTGGTCAGCTTCGAGCCAGGTTGCCAACAGAGATCCAGCTAAAGGCAGCAGGCGCACGACCAAGAGTCGTAAGCAATTCGATGGAACTTGCAAACGCTGCAAATTCCTTATCTGCACAGTCCTGCGGAGAGACCGACACAACAGCACCCACGGCACACAACAGGACAGAGCACAGCATGGGTGGAACGTCTGTTCAGGAACGCTCAATAATGCAGTGCAATTTGACTGAAATCCATAGACCAAAAAAGGGTTAATGGCCGGCCCCCTAACAGCCGGCTTAAAAACAAACACAAATTTGACATCCATCAACGCACTCCTAACAACGAAAACCCTATTTTGTATGTACACAAACGCCCAAGGCGTTCTAAGTAAGTTGGCCGAACTTAGAAAACTTTGTGACTCACAACCGCGGGACCCCGCCATGATTACAGAGATCTGGTTAAACCTTGAGATAACCGATTCTGAGACCAATTTACCCGGTATGTCTTTGCTCAGGAACGGTAGAACTGGAAGGGGTGGTGATGTGATTCTTTATGATAATGCAGGTCTCAGATGCGAAGTTATCGATCAACCGGAGATCCGCGCTCACATTTCGCTCTGGTGCCGCCTGTGGTTGCGGCACAAGGTCACATGTCTACCAGCCGTAAATTATGCCCACCAAACTCTATGTCGGAAATGGACTCCAAACTGAACCACGTCTTTCAGTTTGCTTTGAACAAGTCCTACACCCACATTCTTATCGCTGGAGACTTTAATGTGCACGACATGGAAACGCCAGAAACCGATGGTGCGCAGTTTGAAGCCTGCTTGCAAGAGCTAATTGCTAGCCCCCATCTGTACAACCACGTAACCTCTCCCACCAGATTTCGAACTGCTA